ATTGTTAAAACTTTGCTGTATATCCTCACCTGACCACCTCTAGCCTTCCCATTTTCAGTCATTTTAGTTATTCTAGGATTACTTGATGCTTTAGTAGAAAGATTGTTTTATCTCTACGAGAGGAGTAATTAAGTAACCACGTTGATACATATCATTTCCTTTTAAGCGTCACACATAGGCTGTAGACATCCAAGTTGGGAGAGGAAGGAGACCTCTGCCGTCCTCTGCCACCACTGGGATCTCTCTCACAGGTGGAACCTGCTCCCATCCTGTCGCCGCAGATACAGGTAAGGTCACCTAGGGACAGGGACAAGGGACCAGTGGATGGGAAGCACGTAGGTAGTGGAGCTGGAGCAATGCTGAGCGATTGTTGCTTCTCATCCTCCCCAGTCATCTCAAGTATCGTACTTCACTTCAAATATACCATTTAAATATATTTATTTTGCCTGGCCGACAGTCAAGCTCTGTGTAGAGAAGTTTTTGTTTTGCTTTAATTATGGCAACTTTTTTGTATAGCAAAGCTTCAGTAGCAAAGAGCCTAAGAGGGCAGGGTAGGAAACATACTCATTTGTTCAAAATGCACCAGACACAAATAGGCGAAGTGTGAAGTGGCTGAGTAAGTGGGGTGGGTCATCGTGTTTCTGTTTGCACTTGAAGATCTTTGAGAACAGAAAGGCTGGATAGAAAATGAAGTGAAAGCTGATCTTCTAAATTGAATCAAGGCAAAAAAAAAAATCTATATTTCTTTTCATGTTGCCACCAAAAGCCTATTTTTAATTCTTTTGCTCCCTGGTGAGACTGTTTATGACTTTTAGTTCGCTGGAAGTCACTTCCCCTTTGACCTGGGTTTGTGCTGTGACTATTTTGAGTCTGTGAGAGAGAGTAAAGCTTTCTGGAGGTTCAGAGACCTTCAGACCTTATCTTTTGTTCTTCATTGTGAATTTTAGACCCAACTTGTTCAATTCCATTGAAAACTCTGTTAGGGTATAAATTGGACTTGTATTGATATTAAGTTTATGGAAAAATTTGGGAAGAATTGACTTCTTTTACCCTGTTGAATCTTTCTCTCCAGATGGTATGAATTTTTTTTAATTTATTCGTATCATTTATATGCTAATATTCTATAGAGCAACTTCAGTGAATTCAACTGAAAGGAACTTTCATCCAAAATTTTTTGGTCTTTTTTTCTTAGCATGAAATGATTTTTTTTTTTTTAAAGACTAGTCAAGTGCAGTAGTGAGGAGGGGGGTTAAGTAGTAGAACAAGGAGTTCAATCTGTAACTGACTGCGAACAATCAAGTGAGATAGCTCACTACCTTCGGACCAGCCAGGAAATGATTTTTATGTTTTTGTAATTTTGGTTTGCAAGATCAATTTGAATAGGAGATTTTGGGTTTTTTTTTCTTTTTAGTTTATTTCTCTTTTCCTCACCTGTTTATAGAACTGATGGTATTTTTAATTTGCTTCTGTCCACTCCGTAGGCCAAATAAACAGACCCAGGTGTTGCATTGTTGTGGGGGGTGGTGCCCTGTCCCTTACAGAGATGGGGCAGTTGCTTATCTGGTCACCGTGCGGAGGGGCAGCCTGGTTCACGTGCCGGCGGTTAAGCTTTGTCCTGATACACTTGCTCCCCAAGCCCATTCCATGGGGGTCCCCAGCCGTGACAACCATTCTCTTCTGCCGTGTTTCACGGTGGAGAAGGCCTGTCTCAGGCCGTGGCTGCAAGCACTGGGCCTGGTTCCTGCCCCTCCTCTCATGGAGCGCTTTACCCCACAGCAACCGAGCTCCCAGGGACGCCTGTTTGGGTCCTGCTCCAGAGCCCAGCAAGCCCACGGCTTCAGCCCTACTTACCGCTTTGTGTTTCTCTAGCTTTTATGGTGCGTGGAGATGTTCACCTTGGTTTTGACTTTAGCTGTGTCTTAACGATTTTCTTATTTTATCTGTCACTTTAAAATAAAAAATTCTTCCAAGCAGCAGGTGGTATTAGAGCGTGTTCTGAGAATGAAACTAAATTTTGATTATTCAGGCTATTTAGAAATGAGATTTTTAGCCCGTTTGAAAATTCATATGGGCGTAGGGTTCATTTGAGTTACAGTTCCCCAAATGCTCAGCTAGTTGACATTTCTAAATGTCTCTTCTGCATAGTTTAACTCTTAGTAAAACCTCTGTTTTATTTTACAAATGGTTTGAAAAAACTGCTTTGCATATTATCCCCTTTGACTCCTGGCCCTAAATTTCTGTCGCTGAGAGGCGTGAGGTTGGGGTGGCGTGAATGTGGGAATGGGACTGTTTTGCTCCGGGCCGCATGCTCCTAATGCGTGCACCCACCACAGGTGGAGCAAACGGGTCCATCCTCTCCTTGATGACTCTGTAAATGCAGACATTTTGTGCTGTGCGCCACCTGTCAACTGCACCCGCTCGAAACAGGCAGCCTTAATATGTCAGTGAGCTGAATATGCTGAGATTTGTCCATTTGGTCCCTGTAGTCCCTTCAAACGAACTGAAATGAAAATATTCTAGGAAACATTTAAGCATATGTGAAGCTAACTGGTCTCATGATAAGCCTAAGCAAATGCTAACTCCTATCACAAATGTTTCATACCTGCTAAACAGGATGCGCTGGGCTAACTGCATTAGGAAAAAGATTTTCACCATGTTCGCGGCTCTTAAAAGGGCAGAAGCCACAGAGAAGGGAGGCCGGCCATGCACAGAAATAGCTGTCCAGGAAAACAGGACCTGACACGTGTGCGAGGAGGGTTCAGGCTGCAGCTTAAGGAGAGAAGTGATGTTTACATTCCTTTTCTGATCCTTGTATATAGTCCCAACCATTGTCACTGGCCTTGAAGCCGGGATTGATCACTCAGATGCCTCCAGGGCTCAGCCCGGAAACAGGAGTGTAGGGGCCAGAGAGGGAGATGCAGCACCAGGAAGACACACCTGCCCAAGAAGCGGGTGTCCTTCAGCTGGCTCTCAGCAAGAATGGGGACTAGTTGTCACCTTTCCTTCTGATTTTCCAAGGGGAACCAGAAATCCAGAATTTTATGTGAAATCTCTAACTTGTTAAATGCTACCAATAAATTCAAACATTTTAAAAGTGATGTCACTGTTTGCTGACAACATGCTGTTTATATATGGAAAACCTTAAAGACTCCACCAAAAAACTGTGAGACCTAACAATTGAATACAGCCAAGTTGCAGGATACAAAATCACACAAAAATCAATAGCGTTTCTATACACTAACAACAAACTATACACAAAAAGAAAGCAAGCGAGTAATTCCATTTACAGTGTCTATTAAAAAAAATAAGGTAAAATACCTAGGAATAAATTTAACCAAGGAGCAAAAGACCTGTACACTGAACACTATAAAACGTTTTTGAAAGAAATTAAAGAAGACACAAATAAATGGAAACGTAGCCTGTGTTCACGGGCTGGAAGAATCAATATTGTTAAAATATACCAAGTGTGCTACTGATGAGACTGTCACCTGGGACAATGTGTTGGAAGGTGTCAGGATTCTAAATATGCGTTTTTTAATTTATAATTTTACCTAGAAATTTATCTGAAGGCGATAAAAAATAAAAGGACAAAATATTACATTCATTTTCATACTTCTAACAGCTTTACTATGCCTTCACGTACAGACAGTCAGCCAAAGTAAGTCAAGAAGAATGAAGATCGGAGTGTTAAAATAAAAAGTACCTGCGTAGAAAAGTATGTGGAGGGTGAAGCGTTGTTGACGACAGAGAAAATCAGAGAAAACCTGAACATCTTAGGGGATTGCTTAAGAAAATTGCCACAGAGCTGTACATTAAAACACTGTACAGCTGTTAAAAAGGAAAAGACTGATATTTTTTTCTTTATCGAGGGTTAGCTATACCTGTGAGATACTATGTACAAAGAGTAGGTTATCAAATGACATTAAAATACGATCTCTTTTGTGTAAGAAATAAGTATATATGCATATGTGGAATT